AATTTCAGCTGAACAGTTTATTTATTATTACATACATTTAAAAAATATATAGTATAAATTTAGTATCTATCTAGATAATATATATTATATAATAAATATATTATTAGTACTCATTAATTATAACGTGTACTTGATCAGTCATCAGTATTCAGACTAATACTCAAACTGTAATATGAAAATAAGCCAATACATTTTTATACGACATTCAAATTTCAAAAAAAAATGTTAAAATTAATTTGATATCATATATTTATATATATATAGATGTATATAATAATAATATTAGTGGAAGTACATCAATTGCACATGAGTTAAATAATGATGTAATATATTATATTAATTTAATTTTGTGTTTAATGTGTAGTAGCAATGAAAGAAAATTAAATATTGACATCTAAAAAATCAAATGGTACTAAAATATTAAGCATGCACAAATAAGGCCAAATTCCGTGTATTTTCTTACACCATAGAAAAATATATCCAATCACATAAAAGCATATATTTATTTTAAACAAATATTTTTTTTTTCAACTCCTTACACATACGTATTTGATATTGTGATAAAAAATAAGAGRAAATAAATATATATTATCGTCTCAATTTTTTCTATAACTTTATTTTCATATTGAACTAAACATTTTATCGATGCTGAATATCAGTAAACAACTCCCTTCATAATCTTGCAGACGATAATACATTATTTTATTGAAAAGTTCTCAATATAAAACACACTAAAAAGTCATCGCGAGAGGTCACCAACCTTTCCCCTCATATTCCGGGTGATATACGATTGCAAACAACCTTTTCCCGTATCACGATTGAGAATGTTTTTACCTTCCTTTTCCCGTACAGCGTTGTATGTGCGTTGTTTGTGCTGGTCCCAAAGTGAGTCTTATAAGCGGCATCTAGAGTATTTTATTTTAAGTCAGTTTCATAACCCCCACCCTCCAACACATGCAATGTTTTCAGTTTTAAAACAAATACAGACACAAACTTTGACAATAATAAATTATATTAATAACAAAGTACATATTATAATATATAAGTACATAAGTATAATTCTAGAGCCAAAAAAGATAAATCTAGAATTAAATCAACATTAAAAAATTTAAATGATTATAAAATCCATAAGAATCTAATTTTATATTTATAAAAACTGAAAATTACTACCAAGAAAAAAATTTTAATAAAAAATAAAAATACAGAAAAAACATTTGAAAAACTATTTAAATGTTTTAAATTGATTTGTGTATTTATTTGCTTGTAACTTATTAAAAATTATTGAACAGTTTATTAGTATTCATATAGAATTTTTTTTGATCAATCAACATTGTAAACATTACCTTTTATTTTATATTATTTTATTTTAGTTTGTAACGTAGTTATAATGTCACATTATATTATTTATATATAATATATATATATTTTGAAATATAAACTTGGCAACGTAGMCTAAAAAAACGTTCGCAATCGCGTTATACCCTATATTCCATATCGTAAATTAGGGAGATGCACACCCAGTGAACAGGTAATAAAAAGAGTATAGTAAACTGCAGCGCCCATAATATCTTAGTGAAAGATTTCAAAAGATCAAAAAAAAAAAAAGTTGAGCAATATAAAAAAAATATATTACAATAAGGGCCATGAAGGAAATAGGATTTATGTGAAAAACTATATCGAATTACTTTGGTGATTTATTGTGAATTCCTACAGCCCTACAACTATTATTAAACATATTATTATTATTATTATTATTATTATTTAGATACTAATATAATATAAATCATTAAAAAAAAAATAATAATAATAATATATTGTGTTAGTACTTGTTTAGCTATTTAACTTACAAAGTTTCAAATGATTTTTACATTTAAACTAACAATATTTGGAAGTTAGTGATATATATAGCCTGCTTATGCATCCTAAATCACAGAATAACCAGAAGAGACACTTTTTCAGTTTAAAATGGGCTCTTATGGAGTACAGATTTGCAACACCTGGTGGAATATCAGTGCTGCCGGTAGAAAGATAATTCTCATTATTCTTTGTTTCTAGCGCGGCTGTTATTCCCCGAACAGAGGCATTTTACCTTTAGCCTAATAAGTAATAAAGTCGTAAATTGCAATATACATGGATACACTGATATTCCACCAAATTGAATAGTATGTTCCCGATTTTTGAGTGCTCAGCGAGTGTCCATTCTGGTTATTCTGTGCCTAAACTACAATATGGGCAATGTTGAAAAGCTATCACTCAAATAATGTTATTTAAAAATAGCCTCTTCAGGCAACAGTATATAACAACATCTAAATGTATTCTTGAAATGTATTGGACACGACTTCGATAAAACGATAATATATATATATTATATATACATAAACGTGGTAATTCTTCCTGTTCACTGTGTTATATATTATATTAAAGAATCGCCAGCTCATGCAACGGATATTAAAAAGTAAAAATACCATTCACGCGTTTACCATACACGATAAAATAAAGTTTTTACCTAACGTCAAATATGTAAAACGCTGATCGACGTTCACCTGGGTGCACACAAGTGGGTATACACACACGAAATGTTTTTTGGCGGGGCGAAAACCATCGAACCGAGGGCATATAAGCATTMTACACAAGAGCTCGGCACCAGAATTGAAGTCAAGCTCTACAATATAATAAAATAGTGTATAATAAATAAAGTAAATAATATTATACTATTATATTATAATAGGTAGCTTTAAAAAACAAAATAATTGAAATAAATATTTGATTTCATATAATATTTCATAGTTATTCAATGACAACAATAATATTATTGATTATATAAACTATTTGTCGGTATTTTCAAATAAACCAATCGCAGAGCTTGATTTTAATACGGGCGCCGAGCTCATGTCGTATAGAATGCTTATATTATACCGCCTMGGAGCTATAATACACCGTTGTAGACGTGTGTTCGGGCGAAATAAATCCAGAACATTATAAAGACTGCAAAATATACGTTTGAGACCTTCGTCTACGGAGAATAACCAATAGGAAATGTATAATATAATATTATTATCATGGCCACTGTAATATTATTAAATGCAAATTAAGTTCATAATAGTAAAATACAAGATGATTATTTCAACGGAGGCCTATATTATCAGCTGTCGGAGGGGAAATCGGTTGTGGATGGGTACAATGCGAGTATATAGTTCTAAGTAGGTAGTAGTTTTATTTATGCGATATTAGGTAACTATGATATTTATCAACCTTGTGACTATGTAGACATTACATAGTTTGTAGGTGTTTATAAATAATAAATAAAATAATTCAATTAATCAATTATTCAATAAAAAAAAAAAAAAAAAAAAAAAAAAAAAAGGTACAGATATAGGACTAATATAAAATGTTTAAA